TCTCTAAAATTGGTTTGCAGCTAGTTTACAAGGAAAAAATCACCTGTATTCATCATAAGATGTGCTTTACATTGAATCATTGTGTCATTGATCAATTTTGGCTGTGAAAATTACATCATGTATTAGTAACAAGATCATTACATTGCGTCATCGTATGGTTTTTTAGGATTATTTAGGCGGATTTGGCTGGTTTTTGAGGCTGTTGACTATTGTAGAGGTTGTTGCATGTGGATATAAGTACTCCTTGATGATTTTGGGATTGTTTTTCCCCTTTCTGCATTGTATACCTTTGTTGTAGTGTTATAAATCATCATTTATTTACTATATTTGTACTAAGATCACTTAAATCTGCCCCTTCAAAGCAAGGATAAATTTATTTACGTGTGTTAAAGACTATAAGTCTCTTTGGGAATAATACTTAAAACAGTATTTCTAGAAATGAACATAGTTTGTGGACTTTTTGCGCTTAAAAACTGGGAATAATACTTACAACAGTATTGTGATATTTCTCTGGTGCCTTTATCTATTTCTCTGTTATCACAAAGTGGTCAGCAAGTGCCCTTGTGCTGGTTTCTTTGAAGAAGGCAGTCTTTAGGCAACTTCAATTATATTACACGTAGTAGATTATCCCTTCTTAGGTGTTGTAAAGCTCTTGTTGAGCTTCAAATACTATGTTGCTCACTAACCTAAAGACGTGGTTAGAAATATAAGAAGACTGAGCAAGAAGAATAGTTAACAAACACAGCTTGAGTTTAGTTTGAGAGAACAGATTGAAGAGAAAGAGAAATGGCTGTGAATCTACCTTTTAAGATTCTCGTTTCCTAATATTAAAGATGAGGAACAAGAATCAAAAAAGGGGAGAAAAGAGTCTGGTACATATATCAAAGAATACAGCATGCACAAAAAAGAGAAACAAAGGCCCCTTGCTTCAACTGCTCAACATAATTTGTCAACCACCCCCTGAATCAAACTGACACTTCTTTTGTCAATGACCAACACACAAACATCATACTCCAACATTTGATACTTGTGACAAACAATAGATTTTAAAAACAATCAATCATCCAAAAGCTTTCTTGGTGCAAGTTATCCTGCAAGTTCCGACAATTGATTGTTTTCAAAAACAATTCATTGGTCCAAGATTCTTGTGTGATGTGGTTTTTGCTGTTTTTCGGGCATCTCCAGAATGAAAATTTGAAGTGCAATTGAACAGAACCCTGACTTGAGAGTGATCAGTGCAACCCTATCTTTGAGAAAGTGAAAGTTCAAACAATTGACCATTTTCAATTGAAAAGTTGTCATGATCTGTGCAACACAGATTGCAAGATGGATTACATTACAGATCAGACCTTACCAGATGCAGTAGGTCTACAGACAGTTCTTGCCGGAGGCCAATCCAAATCATTGTTTGACATAGTCCAAAAGTATGTTCAAAGTAGAGAAAGGGTCCTCAAAGCTACCTGGTTGCAGAAAACATACTCACAGAAAGGAAAAAACCTTTTTACTTTGAGTACTGTTATTCTGCCTTTCTGGACTTTGATCAAGTCTCCACGTTCCCACTAGTCTTATAGACCCTAAGGGTAAAAGGGCATTCAGAGAAGTATTTTTGTCCACAAGCCCAGGAGTTTGGAACACTAAATTTAACTAAGCCCCTCTTAATGCGGCCACATCCATCCACTCTCAAAGAGGGGCTTATGAATAGTAAAAGCCCAGGTTTGGCCTGAGCACAGCAGGATTTTCACACCCTTGTGCTTTAAACCTCACTTTGAGCGCTCCAAACATCATGAAACCCCACAAAAAATTGAAAGGAGCTTCTTCAAAGTCTTCTGTGTCTCCTTGCACCAAACTCGCTTGCAGCGCTGGAAACACCAAAAGTAGCGGTGTAACACTTTTTGGTGGGAGGCAAGATGTGTCAGGGTGGCTACTATATCTTCACGGGAATGGTCTAGCTCTTACTCGGTAAAGGATCCTGACAAGGTATCCTCTGTGTACGTGGAATACGGAAAGTAATATTACCTAAGTAATATAAAAGAAATAGATCAATTATTAGTATATCTGGGCAATATACCTAACACAAATCTTTTTTAGGAGCACGGGCCTACTGTAGTGAACAGTAGAGGGTGGTCAATCCTTAGACCCGGCCTTCAATACTCTGAAGCGCAAAGCTTAGAGTTGCCTGTTATCCTAGGATAAACAGGGATCTTGTACAACTTTGAGTTGCAAGAACAGTGGTGTTGACCAAGTAATATATCACTCACTTTAGCTCAAAGTAAGAGAACAAGTTTCCTAGGGATCTTGAGAAGTCAAAGTGGAGTAACTAATGCCGGTATCTAGTTTGGATAGTATACAAGAACTACGAAATATCAAAATAGAGAAAGCTTTTTAGTCTGGAGTCTATCAATTCAAAGAACTCTAAGAAGGGGCAATTATATACGTTTACTTTACGAACATTAATTTTCAAGGGAACACCGGTTAACTGCTTTAAGAAGCGGAATTTATATTAGGGATAGTGGATTGGTAATATACGCTGGACTTTATAAAGTAGTAACACTAACTGTTGCTTTGAAATTTAAGATGGGTAAGATTTGATGCCCTTCCTTCTTGTCTACAGATAAGGCAGTATTTATACCTTTTGATCTTAGGTGTTTGGCTGATAGTTAGGCTAGTTACTCAGCCTTTCCAGTTCCGAGTGACAAATGTTCCTTCTTTGGTTTTGATATAACCACTGATCATGTCTGATTCTATCTGTAAATGGTTGTGTTAAGCGCTCCGACCTGATTTCTTACGTAAAGCCAAGCTTGATCTTTGGTTTTTTTACGTATCATTTTATATTCATTCTAGAGTAGACCCTTTCTATCTTCCCGACTACTTCTGTTAGTCTTTTGTTTATCGGGTGTTCTCGTTTATTATTCTTTTTGTAAATAGACCTTTGAAACTAGGTCATTAAGTTGTATATTTCTATGTTCACAATATTGAATCTTTGATACTTGATTCTAAAGATGATTTACTTATTTTTTATGTTTTTATTTTAATTATGAAGGTTCTTGTGAGGCTTCCTTTTCTTGAAGTACTTTTGGTGCTTGCTTGAGTACTCGAGTGCTGACAAGATGGGTAACTTTAATGTAAGCAGGGACAGGATTCTCCACAGATTACTTAGCTGAAGGCGCAGTTGTTTTGTGCACCATTTTGCACTGTTTCAGGCAAAAACCCATTTTTTCCTTTTCACAATTACTTTGAAAACAATGATCATGCACAAGTGGTTTGTAGTATTAAGACCGTGATGAATTTGCATTACATCAAGTTGCTTTGATATAAAGTTAACTGGTGAACTTCATGATTTAGGTTTTACTTCGGCTCATTTGGCCTAACAAGAAATCACTACAAGTGTTTTACAAGAAGCTCAATTACAAAACAATTGAGTCAAAAATACTGGAGAAGATGTTATCAATCCGCTTGATAAGTTTAGATTGATCAAAGATCAAACACTGAATTGCATTACAGATGACTAACATATAGTATTCATGATTTTAAAGAATATATTAGTGGTACACAAACATGAACACCCAACCTAAAATCCTGTGGACAAGACCCATGACAACCCAATTGTTTTTTGGGTTTTGTCCAACAGGAAAGCGGGAAACCAATGGACAAAAACCCCAAAACAATTGGGTTTTCATAGGTTTTTTCCATGGGTTTTTAGGTTTAGTGTTCATGTTTGTGTACCCCTATTGTTACTATTCATCAACTTGAAAAACAATGCAATTGAAAATGTGAACACTAATATTTCTGCGTTTTGAAATGCTTCTGATGTGGATTGTTGCACCATTGATGCATGAATAAAACTAACGGTTTTGATTTTATGTTGGTCTGATACACCAATGAACCTAAAGAGGATAAAAGACAAGAAATCAAACAGAAATGATGCAAAGTTTAGTTGATGAATTTGTTGTTGAAAGGTGCATCTTGAGGGGGGCTTTCTGAGGTGTTGTGAACAATTTACTTATGTTCTCACGGTTTTATTCCCTACTGATTTCTACTCTGTATGAAAATTATAGATCCTTACATCTGGAAAATTCAAAGCTGATTGACTGTTGAAGTTAAATCATCCATTTGTTATGGTAAAAAGTAAAGTCAACCAGATCTCAGTTTCACTGCACCAAATGACATCTTTCCCCAGGGGTATAGAAAGGTAGTACAGGCATAGATGTGTAAATTACTTCTCTGTACCCATTATGAAGATTTTTTAATACACCCACATAATATTTTTGAGATTGAGCAAATGAGCGTTTTCTTTGAGCTGATTCAGCTGTATGAATTGGGACCCAACATAAGCCACCACAGTGTGCAGGATATTGAGTCCTCATTTTATTTCAATGTTTCTATCCCATGATACCTTTCTATACTCATAAAAGATACTAGAGTATAGGCGGGCAAGCCCGCCGCCAGGAATAAGTCCGATGTCGAATATAAGTTTATTGTAATGGTATCCACCATCTTCGCAAATAAACCATGTCAAGCGTAAAGGGATGATTGCCTACATAGAGACACGGGTCGCGTCAAAGGAGTTCATGCATAAAGATACAATATGAGTTATTTGACTCCTTCATTCTAATGATGTATCTCACCCTTTTGCGATAACGCAGGGTCATTTGCATACATTCTACAAATACATATGGTAGCCGATTCTATACTCTATCTACAAACAGGTTATTCACTCCATGAACATACAGTATTTCGATGCTCCTCAACAAAGTCCAGGATAGCCTCCATAATCTTTCACAGATTATTTAATCTTACACTATTTGAATATTGATATACAATTTTTCAATTATCTATCATATTTTATCACAATCCTCTTACCCTCATTCATTTACAAATAATACCTATCTAATATTATTGGCGTTCTTTTGCGTTTCAAGACAAATATATTTCTTAGCAATTAGTTTTCAGTTTAGTGGAGGTTATTTTCGTCTCGACTTAGACGTTTGCGACGAAGCGCCATGGCGACTCATTACAAGAAAACCTTCCCTTTGTATATCAATTCAATATTTGACGTCATTGCAATTGTAAGTGCCAATGTCAATCATTATTGTTATAGGGCTAAATAATTTTCGCTATTACTCAGGGTGGAATATTGTGCGAATTGTCTCACACCCGGCAATTCGCCCACATGGTTGTTACGACTGACCCTAATCATAAGGGTCTCTCTGAATGGGCTTTAAGAGGAGTAGTAAATGGAGAGCAAGCGCGAGGTATTGTTGTTGATGGAGCTTATTTCCTCTCCGGAATCCTATTAGGAAACAACCACGGCGCCCCAGAATACTTTGAATACACACTCCCTTGTACATTTATTTCGAAGACACCTCCATTTCATCCAGCTGAAGTGGTCAATTCTGTCGGAGTTACTGGATATGGTACCATAATCGAAGTTTTCACTGTTGCAAAGTCCGATCACGAAACGTCTATATGTCTCTCGGTGGAGCACTGCAACTTCAACCGCGATGTAAGTATTGCCTTTGGTTATGAGTGAACGTCGCTCATCTTTCACTCTTTGAACAGACCAATGAATACATTTCATTCCTTGTCCGATTCATGGGATCAACGCCAGATATTGATCAATCATTACTCACTGCATGTACTCCTGGAAAAGAAATTCTCATCACAGGATCAATAGTCGATAGAGACTTATCGCAAAATACTTGGCTAGTCAAGGTGAGTCGAGAACATCATTTTAAGGGTTGACCTTGCAAGCTCATATCCAATGCCTCAATTTCCACGTCTAGATGAACTATTTAGCTCTCGTTGGAGATGAACACAGGGATCATCATCAGGAGACGGAAGATGGTCTTAAGAACTCGACTCTGTAGATAATTGCCAATGACTGTCGCAAGCTACGGAAGCCCCATCCAATGTATCAGTTGCTTCTACATGTTGTTGCCATATTGTCTCATAATCAAGATAGGCGAATAGTAAGCTAAGGAATAAAATTCGATTATATCAATTGCTCTACTCCTCATGGTCACAAGAGGGATGACGTTCAGAAATTGTCTGGTAAATTCTCCGTTACGGGTGTACATTAAAGTATCAATGTTTCAATGGCTCAACGATATTCTATAAGCAATATTTTTCATTTATGTATTCATAATTTTTGGTAGGTTTAATTACAAGATTGAAAAATGAATGGAATTGAAAATTATAGATTTATGGAGAATCTTCAATGAGTTCGCGACATACTATGTTCAACGTTTCTGCCGCTTTATTCGCGGTTGCCAACACCACGCGCAAATTGTTGAGGCTATTGCACCTAGACAGTGCCACGTACAACTGCCCATGAGTACAGACAGGTCCAGAAAGGAATACACCCACCTTTCCTAGAGTTTGTCCTTGAGATTTATTGATAGTCATGGCGAATGCGGAAGTTATCGGGAACTGATATCGTGAGAAAGGAACTGGCTGATCCAATGATCCTCGATGAATCATTTTCATCTGAGGCATTGCGACGATGTCACCTTTTTTGGGTCCAGTGATAATCATACATCGCAGCACTTGTATCGAGACACTCATGACAATCATACGAGTTCCGTTGCATAACCCCGACCCTAAGCATAAATTCCTCATCAACATTACAGGTTGGCCTACCTTTAACTTCAATTCGTGCTGTGGGAAACCGACAAAATCTATTGAATTAATGATATCAATTGATGTCGGTTCATGAAAAGTGGGATCCGGTTCGTCCCTCGACCTCGAAATAAAAGGGTCGCCTGGCAATTTTGCTAATGTAGCATCATTGATCTCTCTGACAGTTTGATTCAAAGGTGTTATAATTGCTCTATCTTCATAGTATTCAGCAATTTTATTCCAATTATTCCTACCAGTAAACTGAAAGAGGTCATCGTAGACCCAATCTAGAAGTTTTCGAGGAAGCGGGGTGAAGGGAGGGACTGTCTCAACTACTATGTTTTCAACAGTGATCATAGCTTTATTCCTTTCTTGTAAAGCCCCGTCACCTAATCGCAATAACCACTCAGCATACTTCACACGTTCTAATTCTTCGCTTCCTTCCAATGTTTTTAACCGAAGGTTAATTTTAAGCCTAAATGACTTGACGTGGGACCAGAGGAATGACAATTTCAAGCATGCTCTTTTTTGATCATTGAGTGACCCATGCCTGACTACAGGTAACGTCTGCCTGAAATCACCTGAAAAAATTATACTCTTGCCACCGAAAGGTTTATCGATTTTGCAAATATCACGCAGCGTCCTATCTACGGCTTCGACGTCATACTTATTTTGCATTGAAATTTTGTCCCAGATGATAATCAGAGTTGAGATTATATTTAAACTTTTCTTACATCTCCCATTCAGATCGCAAGTTGCATCGGCGTCGGGCGGAATTGGTATGTTGAAGCCATAATGTGCTGTAGTCCCATTCATAAGGAGAATGGCAGAAACTCCAGAAGAAGAGACACTCATAGGTCTCCCGACATGACCATTGAAAAAGTGCAAAATTGTATTTAAGGTGTACGTCTTTCCTGTTCCGCCAGGTCCATCTAAGAAACTGATCGTTTGCAAATTATTCTCATGACCCTGGAGTACGTGTGAAACAATGGCCTGTTGGTCTGCGTTCAAGGTGGAAGCTTGTCTCTTGTAGATGATCTTGCTATCTTCAGGTTTGAAGTCTCCCGTTTTACCTCCTGAAAGGGCCATAATAGGCAATTCGTTCATTCGAGTTAACAATCCAGAACTCAATCCAACATTCGCCATCGACTTCCCCATGTCTTCAACCACCTGACTCAACAATTGCAGCCCGTAAGAAATTTGCACATCTTTGTCGATGGGCCGGCGTGCTCCCAATTCAGCTAATTTTGCTTCGCAGTCCTCGGTCATCTCGGTTGAATACTTGTCCCATATAGCATCTGGAGATGCAACTTTACCATAAACGAGTATAAGGGCAAACAAATGCCTAAGTTGACATGAAGATGACCAATGTGCTGCCTCGGACATGGCCGCTTCATGATGTTTATCTGATGACAACTGACCTAACCTATCCGCAGCCTCTCGGAAGGTGACGCATTGAATTCCATTGACAGTCTTAAATTTTGAAAAGACATTGGCCCTCGAACATGACACAACAACATTCTTAAGTAATATTTGTCTCCATCACTTAAATTTGCGTAATAGACTCTTACGACCGTTGACATAGGTTTCTTCCTTTGCTGAAACCTACCCTTCAGCCAACGAAAATATCGCGGGACTTCAACATAAAGTAAGTCTCGCGCACAAACATTGTCTAAGCCTAATTCATTGTCTCGACATAATCTGAAGAACTCGGTTAAAGTGGAAGTCGGGGGAGGTTGCAGTTCAACTCTTGCCAATGCTTCGTTTTCGTCATAAAAATAGACTGTCTGTTGATTTTCAAGGTGAAGGGGAAGTCTCATCACTGGGGGGAATGAAGAATTCATTGGAAGCTTCATTAATCTATGGGCGGCTACAAGGCGTGGTAGGTTAGCATCCCCAGAAAAAGTGAAAGCTAGATGACGATAATGAAACAAACCTTCAGGGGCACTGATGTAGCGATATGTTTGAAATTCTAAAAGTTCATCATGAACTAAGATTTTTCCTACCAGAAGCATTAAGTGAATATGATATCAACTTCCGTCAAATGACTAATTCGAAAACTTACCTTGCTGCTTTGTATTCACCTCCATGTAAACCTTCGCGCGGTCATGTCCCTTAGTAAGGTACTTATAGAGATATCGGATAGGTTTAGTCCCTACTGGTATCTCGACGTTAATATGACACTCAAGGAGTAATAATAAGTATTTGTTGTAAGGTACAACGTGACCGTTAGTAAACGTAGACCCGCCCTTCTTGAATTTTCGTCCATTGTTAGGCCTCTTATATGCTGGAAAGGAATCATCCGACAATGAAGACTCTTCACAGAAAGGCTTAGGAAATGACAATTTGCATTGACCGTCTTGAAAACATGACATCCCCTTCCGACATGGGCCATGCAACATATGCGAAGTCACAAGACTATGCAACTTTGATTCATCGACAGGATCGGGAATGACTGCAGTAACCAAGCTGTCAACATCTTCTGCACTAACAGGTTTCGAATTTTCATCTACAATGAAAAGTAAATGGGCGTGTGGCAGGCCACGTTTTTGGAATTCTACTACCATTAAATTGGATATTACAACTCCCAATCTTTGATTGTCGACTATTTCTTCTATGAGTTTGGCCAATTTCAGATGGAACACTCTGGCAACGATGTCGGGTCTATCTTGCGCGGTCTCTCCAAATTGCAGCTTGTCCTGTATCTCTTTCCAATTTGGATTCGCGGTCATGGTTATAAATAAGCTTGGGTTTCCAAATTCTCGTACGAGAGCCATGGCGTCATGGAATAATTGATTCATGTCCCTTGGACCTCCCTTAAAAGACGATGGCAAAATAAGCTGTCGACTCGGCGCAGTCTGACTTTCGTTGAACGCTTCTTTGATACCTTGGTATAGTTCAGCTCTTATCTTTTTTTGATTGAAATGTATAAAATCAAGGTTCGACCTCTCGACACATAGGTACAGATCTACAATTAATTGCTGTGATAATTGTCAACCGTGAATGAAGGGATTGAAATTCTCCTCTTGTTCGAATATCAACCATGCGCCCCATTCGAGGTTTGTTACTTTATAATTAGTACGTTTTCCTAAAAGCAATGCAAATTCAGATCAGTCATAGAAAATTTCATATAGTCAATGAAGAAGCTACTTACGTCCTGGATTTGTGCCCATGGTCGGTGACTGGTAATTGTCATCCCATTGTTGTGATCCGTAAGGTAGCAACAATGGGTATCGCAATGATAGATAAGGAGTGTGCAGATCAGTCATGTATATTATCTTTCCGTCCTTACGACTGACTTTGATATGTCGAGGCTTGGCATCTATGAAGCTCCCTTCTTCCACCAAAGCCGCTATATCACCTGGCCTTGGTTTATTATAAGTTTTGGCATCTCTGTTACCCGGGGCAAGTGACTTGAGTACAATTGTCATGCTATCCTCCGACGCCAATATTTCGTTTGCGTTTCTGAAGACTTCCGCATAAGGATTGACGCGATGCATGATATCTTGTAGCTTTCTTGTGATTCTCTTTTTAATTTTTCCTTCCGCGAAGTGCGCTAATCGATTTTCAACTTCCTTTTCACCACCATCACCTAACATAAATATTTGGCCATAGCAGGCAGGTTGATCCCCTGTGGGAAATAAAGCTGGAATCTTGTGCGAGAGTTGTCCCGATATCTTGAAAGTACCCACTCCTTTTTGACCCATCACGCTGTGATCTTGTTTTGCACCTAACGATGAAAATGACATGGCGTTGTTGTACGAGGTAATGTTTTGTTGAAATTCCTTGGCATCTAGAGAGCATTACATCAGATAAAATGTAATATGAATTGATAAACTGGATTATTTACCTTTTGATGATGAAGTGAAAAGCTCAAAGAGATCGTCTGGGAGAGGTGGACCGTCGAAATCTGCCATGGGCAACTTCAAATCGCCATACTGACAACAATTCATGTACTTTTCTTCCCGATTCCTGACATTCTCTTTAGTTCTCTCTTGTCCCCACCGGAGTGCTTTGCAATGCATGCAAACATGATTCATGCGTCCAAGATAATAGGGTAATTCACCTGGAAATCGATTTAACAGAGAGGCTTCGGTGTTGTCCAAGACTGTTGGCACTGCTAATCCGACTGCAGTTGTAGGCATTGGAAAAAAATAAATGTTTTAAAAGTGGTGTGTTGAGGGGGCGAGGAGCTGATTTATGGTTATGAGAATAAACTGAGATGTGTATGACGCTTGAGCAGAAACTAATGATGATAATTCCCAAATGACGAAATGCTTGGCACAGAGAGCGTCGTTATATATAGGTAAATATGGGTTACTCTTACTCTATTCCATACTTATTTGCTTTTGCGAGTTAAACATAACTAAGAGTAACAATGAGACAATCGCGTCATCATGACTAAGTAAATAGTATGACGTATTGCTAACATAAAAATAGGACTTTTCTACAATCTCGAATAAGGGTATCGGATTACACAACAAAAAATCGCCAAAGACTGACACCAAATGCGGTCTTCTAAATGAGGGATAAATTATTGAATTACATGATTTTGTCGAATGGCATGCTAAAGAGAGTCCTAAAGAATATTTCGATTGCATCAAAGTTTTTTGGATTACCATTTTCGGAAAAACGTAAAAGGTGTATTATATTCCCGCTTAGTAGAAAGGTACAAATCAATGGCATTCATGATTCATCATTGTCATTGTCAATTATCTAAACAGATTCAACATACACAAAACACACCTTAACAACTACCCGACATAGCTATTTTTATAACATTATATTGAATTAGATTGTTCTCACCCACATACAATATCTACCACAATACTATGCCTTTGAATGAGAGACTCGATGCGACTTTCGTTGAAGGATTTGGGATGGTCACGTGGACAACAGTCTCTTTCACCAACGTTTGCCCTGAGCGGGAATTGCTTGGTCATATACTCGTCGACTTCCTCCGTCGTAAGTTTATTGATTCCTGATTAGGTATATGTTCTGATTGAACTTCTCTATAGGATCGAGGGGATTATCAAGACCGCAATTTCAATCGGGCCGAATAAGAAATGGAGTTTCGGGTCACAGTTTTACGTTTTGGATGTTGTTGCAATATACCACATTCCCTCAAATCAGAATATCGGAATATTGATTCATTTGGAAATCATGGAGGGCAAAGGGGTAACTTATTCGACTCACGATGGTTGAGTTTGACATCATTGTGTAGTCACCAAATACTGAGATTCAGCTTCAACTCGCATATTAACACCATTGTATCGATTGTGAGATAAGCATGCAGAAACTTTTTCAATTCATACAGATTTGAAGTTTCAGTGGGGACAAACTGAGACAGAAATATTTTTTTGATCTAATTATAAGTCATTGAGAGATAGACGGAGAGACATTCAAAATAGCTTAATGTAGGCATGACACTTAATTTCGCAATTGAAAGGTAGTGAAAGCATGAATTGAGATGATATAAAGAAGTGGACCTCATTGAAAATCACTTGCTTGCGAACTATTCCGCATCAGATCCATTGACCTTTGTTCGTTTTGCAGCTCCGCGGGAGGTGGAAGCAGTAACAGTGGCTTTCCCTTTGCCTTTTGGCCCAGTTGAGCTGATTCCTTCGTCGACTTCACCAATTGAGTCTCCAACGATAGATGGTGACGCAGCAGCCTTTTTACCAGTGCCACCTGGTACGAATCTGAATTGAAATAAGTGGTTAGTATCCAGTTAGAAGACATGTTGATAGGAAATCTCACAATTTGCCTCGAGTTCTTCCGCCTGGTGTGCCTAGAGAGGAGCCGGTAGATGGCAGAGACGACTGCTGACCAGATTCGTGGCCAGTAGTAATGTTAACGCCAGATACCTAAGCATACAAAAGGAGCCTCGATTAGACTTCTCGTCATCATTGAAGAAATGTGCGGAGATTTTACCTCGACAGACCACATATTGCGAGATGGGATGTAACCCGTAATTCGGCCAGTGAGAAGTGCTTCGCGACGTGGAACTAAGAGACTTTGTAACTTGGCCATCAAAGGGGACCAATTACATCTATACTCAACTTGGAATGTATCTTGATCACGTATCTAACAAATAATCAAAGTCAGCAAAAGTTTTAAACATTAGATGACGTCATAGAAAATTTCAGCTGACGGCAGGATTGAAATCTGAATGTTCAACTACGATAATGATGTTATCTTTGCCCGGGCTGACATTCTCCACTTCTCGAGAGGATATTATCCCAAGGCCAGTTACTGAGACCTTGTTAGCCAGCTCAGTTCGAAATGACTCGGAGGGGGAGACGGGGATACTATTCTCCGCTTCGTAGTAAAATACTTGTAGATCATCGTGATTGAGAGCTAATATTCGACCCTTGAGGTAATAAATAGTTCCATCATTGAGGATGAGGTCCGGCCCAATGTAAGCAGCTCCTTTAATTGCGCATTCCAGGAGTTCATCGGTATCGCGATTGGTAACCACAATGGTAGTCATGCATTCACAAAAACCGTATTGTCCATTGATCTCCGTTTCAATCTGGGAAAATAGCACGATGAGCTAGGCCTAACAATATGACTATTGTAAACTTACTTGAGACAAAACGTCGAATAAACCTGAGGTAATGAAGGGATGATTCTTCTTTTGAGTGTTGGGATTGCCGCCTTGATTATATCGTGTTGGAGACGAGTTTGTACTGTTTTGAGCCGACATCTAGAAAATGTGAAGACATAAAAGAGAAAGACAATTGAGACAATTTTTCATGGTCATGTTGATTATAAGGATATTCAATTTAAGATGGAGTTATATTGAACGGGGAAGCGACAAGGAGAAATAGATCATTACCTATAGGTTGATTGAAAATTGTGTACGAGGCAAAGGCAGAGGGACATCAATGTTTATAAACAATGAATAGTTGAATGAAGGGAAGGGGAAAAGGGCAGGTGTTTTCAAGTTTCCGTCGGACCAGTGTAAGAAACATAAGGGACGGTTGTATCAACGCAGGGATATGCAAATACGCTTGACGTTTTGAAGTGTCACTGCGGTATCAACATTGAATCAAGAGATGCGATGCAGTATGTGGAACTTATCGTATTTGTCCATGTCATGGGTGACGTGCACTTATTGTTGAACTCATTATGATACATGCAGACTATGAGTTATAGAAAAGGTGAATGAACTATTTTGATAGGTGAAGAGAAAATATGGAGACCTCCACTCGGTATCATCTAATGACCACATAGAGTATAACAAATTCTTTAACAGTAAACATGTTGTAATCGGTTGTCACAGCAACACAAAGTTACAAATTTAGAAAATACGCTCCCGCCTTAGAATACAATAGATGTCTCCAGGCACAAGCGTGGATTCCTCCAAGATGCTCAGAGTTATTGGAACATGTGCTCTTTCACCACCTCGCCTATACCCTCTGAATAGGAGAGTGCATGGTTCTGCAAATGATAAGCATCAGTGTTGGTCAATGGATGTGCGGATGAGGGATGTTCATAGAAGCAAGGGAGGTGATACCTAAATTGTCTGTCATGCGCGGCGAGAAATTCAATTGTGTAAATACGCAATAAGCGCTAGAGAGATTAGCATCTACGACTTGATAGGCGACGTTCTGATGCAGATGGACATGGCAGATTCTTCCATTGTCATATCTCAATTTGACTTCGCCCTGAGAACCTGTTGACTATAGCCTGTCAGCGTAGGAATAATAGTGCTAATGAAATGAGGTGCATACTGTTGGAAAACTGGTCTAGAATCTTTTGGCACAATGCGCCTAGCTGCCATCCCACCCGAGATAAAGGGAGAGAATTGAGTGGTCTGGCCATCTTTGAGGCAGTGACTGGTAGATCGATCTTGAACAAGTGCCGGAACAAAGGTGGTAAAATGAATTGAATATAGTTTGAACGAACAAGGGATGGAGAATGGAGAATATATAACCCATGACTCGAGGATTGACGAGGTTAGTAATTACGATTATGGTATATATATGATTGTTATTGGACAATGTAACAAAATGTCTATCAATGGCTTACCAGGTAATTGTGTTAGTATGAGTTCACCCAATAAATGCCTATTTGAGAACGCGCCATTGTATCATGAACTTGTCGAAAGAATTAAATAGAATGGTATATCTATATTACAGCTTGAAGTGAAAAAGCGCTCGAAGTAGAAGAAATATGTCACGAAATGAAAGAAATAATAATGGTGCAGTGATGTATGTACAAGATAAATGAAAAATTCTTAAATGAGAGACAATGGAGACAGCCTTCTCAGACTTGATGGGTTACCTGCATACTCTTCGGAGTGAGATCTGAAACGCTCTATATTCTTGAAAGTGGTTCATGATTGAAAGTCATTCTTACTTGGTGACTTAAAGTGAAGTGAATGGAGATGATGACAGTGGAAGTACCGGAAGATGGGTGAATTTCAAATTTAGATCTATGTACATGGAGTATGAGAAGGAAAATCGATTTCGACATTTAAGGGATAAAAATAGAAATGTTATTAAAGAGAGCACCCCGTAGAGTAATAGGGAGCCGGACTGGATATGGGGAAATTCAGAATATTTGGCAATTCAAAAATGCAGAAAGAGATTTAATAGAAGTTGGAGGACTGCGACGCAAATTGAAATCAGACATGATTTAGCAGATGACAGTGGATTCTCTGCGACATTAATAGTTCATATGTTGAATCGCGATCTACGATGAACTCGTCAATAATGTATATATCATGGCGATATGGGATAGTCCTATGCCCCCGCATATCAAGTAAGTTCCATCGAAGGGAGCATTTGCCTAGATGGGAGGAGAGTGTTAGTGTATGTGAATGTAAATGAAAAATAAAAGATATTTACATCTATTATTGCAATGACGCGTGGTGAAAGAGACACAAGTTATAACACATCTAGAAGCTGTGGTGCCGGGGTCGGCTATTCGGAACATGATAGGTCCAAAACGATGCACATTATGAACCAGACCATCTGCGTACGTCAGTTGTGCGTCTCCGGGAGAATCTGAGATACGGACAATGTCAGCTGGGTCCCATATCTCATCACAGGAACGGGTGGCCTTACAATTATCGAATTGCATATGAATAAGGTGAACCAAAGCGGTGACATTAGGGACAACCAGAGGTGAAAGGGAGGCGTGGTGAGAATTAGCCATAGGAGTTGGGGAAATGATGAGCAATGTTTCTTTTTGAAAATTGATTGAAAAAGATTGACAGGGAATTTAGAGATGTAGTTAGCACATTATTGCGAGGAGCATTTCATTCGCCTTATATATCAATGAGTGGTGGTAGACGTCATGTATTGGATAAGTTTAGACAATAGATAATTGTAGTGATTCATGGAAGGGAATCCCATATCCATTCTTGGGGAAATATGGAGTGAGTTTATTCTATTAGGTAGTTGGTATTGAAGCGTCTCATGAACTCTTCGTAAACTGATTTCGGAAAGATGCCTAAATCAGACTATAGATGAATTCGGGGACTAATTTTACGACTGGTGTAAGTTTGTGTCGGAGAAGTTTAACTGTAGAGCTGATCAAAGTATAGTAATTTGGCTGAATGTAATGCATTGGATACTTACCGCATAAGGTAGAACTGATAATTAACTCTTCAAATTAATATTATATATGGATAACAAAACAATGTCGGTACATAAAGAAGGAGAAGTGAGTATACCGGGTTATTAATGACTCAATGACGTACGACAATGCATTCAAACAAAAGCGGACGTCTAGGATATCATATTGGTGTTAAGTAAAATTTGAATGATTCCATTTCTTCAGTCGATGTTCCGGGTTTAGTAGACATTAGATAATGGTTATAATATTCAAAGAAAGCATATTTTAAAAGTCAGATTTGTGATATGACGGATATAGTAAAGGAGGTGGTGTTAGCATTTATCATAGGTCAAACGAAACAGATAAGAAGTGGTAGGCGAGTATCAATTGTGAATCGTGCTGGCGTACAAATCCATTAGATAACCTTCAACTCCACATTTAAACATCTTATTTGAACAAATTATTAGCAATGCCTATGCAAGAACTCTATACCGCAACTCATTCAGCATTCTTCGAGGCCCATGGCTTAGTTCGCTGGGATACTGTCGTCTTTTGGACTCACCCGCTGCCAAGTCCTGTCCTATCGAGAATTGTTAGAGTCATAAGTAGAGGTAATATAACGTTTATTTGTCGTGGTTCATACTCCTGTCATATTGAAGTTGGTTTTTAACTTGTACTACAGATAGGTCCACTGTGAATGGAGCAATTAGGCGTACTGGGGCTTTCGTGATTTGGGGCGTAGGTTTTCGGTATCGATTTGTGTTCAATTTGTCAACAGGAGGAGAGGTCTCACTCATGATGAGAGAAGATGAAGTAGTGACACCGGTTGACCAGTTAATAGATGGCTTTGAGAGGCACCATTTGTTCGAAATTTAGTGTAAAAAATGCGAATTACATTGCCCTCGAGGGAGCAGCTATTTTAGAGTTTGTATCCATGTACCTTTCATTTGACCTTTAAATAAGTCTCCGTCCATTCTGCCTGGGGAGTGCGCATGAAAATAGGCCCATCTGAGGGCGACTTGAGGTAAGCTTTGAGACGTAAATTATATGAATATCTCAGCAGAGAAACCACTGTAGAAAATATACATACATTAATTGATACCCCATCTAGCAAATTCAGACACTACCTTTAGTGATATGGTGGGATCGTTGTAACAGTAAATTGCCAAAAAAGTTGGCAAGAGGAAACGAGTGATAGATCTGACATTATAATATTGTGACAATCAGTGCGAGTGAGAGGTGTAACGAAGACATAGGATATAGCAATGGTATAAAGAGGTGGCGCCAAGGAAAGAGATGTATTTTTTATGCATGTGGTCAATATACCGAACACTAAGGTCATACATGGAGACGTGAGTATTTATTGAGGATGTGTGCAGTGGACGTTGTGAGGTAAATTCAGCAGGAACTGAGTTCGAGTTAGGCGAGACCCACAAAGTATATGTCAAATTGCTTAAAGTAGAAATAATTGGAAGCTTAGTTTATGTATGTCTATGTATAGTACTTCATATAAAGCTCGCGTAGAAAAATGGAGGTGCAGAAGTAGAATACAACCCACAACCAAAACAACAAGAGGTCGCTGAGAGAAGCGTGAAATCAATACAAAGAAGCAATACAATAACTACAAAGTTGAAGAGGTGTGGAAGAGGATAATGATGCTAATGTCTAGGTAACAATGAATGAAATCTGATTGCATAAAATGGAACTCTAAAACACGGGTTCGGAATATGGAGTTGAAACAACATGCCATGATTTTTTTCTGCAGTGAAGAATAAGAAACGGTGCAGGTAATTTTGACGGTGACGTATGCAAGAGGAATGAAATGGATATGGAAATTGGTAACGTGGGTAGATGCATAAATAGCAGATACTACACGGAAGCTAACATATGAATACAACGTCTACGGAGAAATAGGCAGGACGGCGCATTCCATTACTGTGCGCTTAACAATGTTTTGACTCAAAACGCGGTACATTGAGCCACTATCATGAGGTAAGCCACGATTTTGACATTCGAACACTTTGACATGGATTCCTAGGGGAAAAGCGGCTTATTATACAACATATAGATGGAAGTAGATGACGACGTACTATCTTCGCCAGGACTGTCTATGTTGGAATCCAATTGAAGAATGCGACATTCTGCATGATCAGTGTTATCGTATCGGGTATCAAAACCATAATTTTGCCACATATGCATTTTAAGACAGACTCCAGTCTCGAAAATAAAAAGGTATTTTGGTTCCGTGTCTATAGAATGGGACGACATGAAAAGATGTGAGTGTGATAAATGATGAGGGATAAGAATTCCTAACCAACAATTACGGAAAAGAGAATAAATCCTATTTAGAAGACCATGATTATTGAAAGCATGGGAGACAAGACCTTCGGTTTGAAAGTAAGGCATTTTGGAGCGGTGTTGATAATGATGATTCGAGATGAATGTAATATTGAATTTTGGATAATAGGTCGATGATGTGATGGAATAATAAAGGTAACAAAGGTAAGGTGATGGAATGTGAATTTTAATAATAGTGATTGCAGGTATTGTCGGAAATTATGCCATTGAGAGTAGGAAGGGTATTGGAGTGGAGATGTGAAGGACACTTTATATGCATCAGATTAAAGCGTATTAGCAAAACAGTACCTATACATGGTATACGGCATGAGGAGTGTGTGTGTACGATAGCAGATTTTAAAAAGTGTACCGGGTATGGAAATGATGGTGAGGGGAGAAGTGCAAAAAAGTTCGACGCAGGTTGCTTGATAAGTGAAGAGAAGATAAAGAGATATAATGCATTGGCTTGTCCCATTCATAAGATAATGATTAGGAAAGTACTTTTGTATATGTACTATTAATGGAATGGTATATCTGCTTTTAAAAATATGATCAGAATAAGTAGGTGATAAAGTGGAGGGTCGAAGTTGATGACGTAAGAGTGTGGTAAATTAGACTTTAATGGAAGGTGGAAAATGTAGTGTGTGCGTAAATAAAATGACATATAATCAAAAAAGTCAATGAATGTAAGACATATGGGAGGTAATGAATATGCTATTGAGGTCAATCGGATAGCATATGGTTCATGGTCATGATCATGTCGAACATTTGAAAAATGAAATAGGAAAAAAGTGCAGAATGGATTGAAAAGGAGATATGAAGAAAAGTCAAATTCGAGAGTATTCGGGTGGAATCGAGCATTACTGAATGGGATCGAAAAGCAATGGTATGTGCTTTTATGGGTTTATGTATTTACTTTGTTCATGCAGCAGTATGCATTATAGATTTATGCTTTTGCAAGAAATTTAGCAATAAATTAATAGAGCGGGTCAAATGGATGGATAATAAAGTTAAGTGCTTTTGTGATGTAAACTTATGCCGACACTCATGCAGGATGGTAGGCTTTTAGGTTATCGTGTAAGTGGAAGTTTTGGAAATTTAAACATATGATGTTGCTTTTGGATTCATGATGCTTTTGAATGCTATTGGTATTATTATTGATTTTGATAGTTGCTTTCGATGGTTGCTTTTGATTGTTGCTTTTAATAGTTTCATTCAATGGATGATGCTTTTGAATGGTTGCTTTTGATTTTGATTTTAATGCTTTTACGTTTCCGAGTGTCATTCAGACGGCGATTTGGTGAATTGAGAGCTGTCGATGGGATGAAATGAGGGAGAGTAGACATGCGAACGAAAAGGTATAAATAGAGGGCCTGAGAAGGCGTTTTTATAACTCCTTGACCACAAAGTATTCCGTGGGTGCACCTCTAGGTCATTGACACTACACAAAATGTCATCTTTACCGGGCGGTAAAGAAAACTACTGACATAGAAAAGTCCTGAGGCAACAGGAAGAGAGCTAAAAATCTGAAAAAATATGCACCTTGTTCCTAGATGTTGGGGCGTCATGACGAGTACTTTTTTGTATTTTACACACAGATATTGGTTAATGTACTAACAATAAAGGCTGAGAATCATCAAAAACCCACCTGTAACAATACCTGAAATTTGGCCCTTGACTTTGAAGACAGGATTTTGGAATCTTCAAACATCAATAACTTTTGCAGTTCTGAATCAAATCACTCGATTTGAAGTGCATTAAAAAGGGGAGCCTTTCCTCTACATTTTTCATTAAGACATCACATCTGTAGCTGGTCTAAAAAAGATCCTACAGAGCTATTCATGCAGAACTGTTTGAACATATGTAGAGTGTTTACATGACTAGATAGCACCTTACTAACATTATGAAGTGTGAAGGAGAATAGTTCAGCTTTTGAATGAACCAAAAATCGAGTTATTTGGAGCAGAATTGCAAAAGTTATTGAAGTTTTTAGACCACAAAATATTGTCTTCATACTCATGACCCAAATTTCAGGTATTGTTACATGTGAGCTTTTGATCATTTTCAGCGTTTATTGTTAGTACATAAACCAATATCTGCGTGTAAAATACAAAAAAATACTCATCATGACGCCCCAACATCTAGGAACAAGGTGCATATTTTTTCAGATTTTTAGCTCTCTTCCTGTTGCCTCAGGACTTTTCTATGTCAGTAGTTTTCTTTACCTCCGGGTAAAGATTACATTTGGTGTAGTGTGATCTTTGGTGACCCGAAATCGGGTATGTCACGGTTCCTTTCCAAACTGCAAAACGGCTGAAATTATGACTGTAGGTCATGTTATCAGGTTTCAAAGGGGGGGTTAGGGATTTAAGTTAATGTAATCATCATTAAATTTACATTCTGTCTGATAAACCAACTTATTTTGAATGATTTTCCATGCATTGCCAGAAATCCTGGATTGACCTTGTGCTTGATTGGAAGAATCTATCATTATTCAGCCTGACCTATCATATCTATCAAACTCATAATTTGTAAAAGGATCTGGGTATCCCCACCACCCCCCCTTAGTAAACTTGCCACCCCTCTGCCTTTCACAGGTAGTTTCATGCCTAATCACCGGTGACACATGTCATGTACAAGCTCTACCATGTTATCGCTTTTGAGATTGAATCATTTGATTTGTTGTCACTCAATCAACATCAACAAGAACATTCAGCCATCATTTCAAACAGTATGAGCAATCAAATACAGGATCAATATTAAAGAACAGTCCCATCAAATTCATCACCTAGAGATTATCAAACTTGAACCATATACCAAAACAAAAGGTGTGTTAAGGATGCAGGTGGGTGAGTCTCTTGGTCATTTTTATCTTACTCGATCCGCTGCAACATGGTATTATCAACTCTCTGGATCCAATATGAATTGGGAGTTGCAAAAGATCTTGAACCTGATCTACTGGTGCAGCAAATGTATGTCTGTAGCTATCTCAAACCAAATGATATATTGTCATAGTAGTCCAAGACAAACCAACAAAACAATACATAACAGTGTAGCATGACTCAAAATAACACAAATAAACTGATTTGTTTAATAAACACAGGGGAATTGTTTTGTTCCAAATCTTTACGCAGATTGCCATTTGAGTCATATCTCAATTTGATTTTGAAAGCTTCTCTTTTTTTGATGCGGATGTTGTCATTTGAAGATTGGTGGGTTTGAGACAAAAGACAAGATCAGTTTTTGATTCAAATCTTAGTGAAAGGGGAAGCAAAGAAACAGGACTTTATACAAAGTTTCCCTTGTTGATGTTGATTCAGCGTGAACAACAAATCATAATTGATTGGACTTCAAAAGCGATAACTCTCAAATTGTTGATAACCTGGTATATACAGCCTGTACATTGCCTGTACATCACTTGTGTCACGGGTGATTAGGCATGACACTATATGTGAAAGGCAGGGGATGGTGGGTTTACTAAGGTGGGTTGGTGGGGATACCAGGATCCTTTGTGAAAATGATCTTGATATGTATTTTTAAGATGAGAAAATGTGTAACTGAACCCAATTTGAACTCCTTTTGAACTATTTTGATATAATTGATTTCTTACTTTTTCAAAAG